AAAAAAAAAATCAATTCAGTGCTTTTTAAAATGATCGTTATCATATATCAGGGTCTTTATATTTTCTCTGTATACAAAGACTGTGTCTCTGTGCCCAACTGGTTTTCAAATTACTTTTAGTGTTGGAACTTTCTTACGTGAAATAATACAGCAAGGTCTCGAGATGTGGTTTTCACCCTTGGCAAAACGTTGAAATTACCTTAGGAGATTTAAAAAATCCCGATGACCGGGCCTTGAGTCCAGTTACTTCCAAACCGGTGAGGTGGAACCCGGGTGATTCTGCTGTGTGGTCAAGGCTGAAAACCATTGATCTGTGGCAGGGCTGTGCAGGTTGAAAGGCATGAGACTGAGGGTTTCTCTAGGGTGCCGTCCCCCCAAATTCCTCTCAGCAGAGCAGAAAACTGTTGCTTTAGTGGATTAGAATAATTTACTTAACATAATAAGCAGCACCAACCGGGGTCTGAATTCTGATTAAGGGAGTCAGCCACAGAGGCTAGCAGAGCAGGGGAAGGTAACAGGTGCCAGTGCTTCTGGGGGTTTCAGAGAAGTGTGGGGGTCCTGTTTTGTCCACGGGGGCAGGCTCCTGCTCTGCTCCGTCCACTTATCGCCGTGGCTTGTGATTTTTCAAGAGAAGCCAGACCTGTATGTTTTTGAAAGCCTTATCGTATTTTGGTAATGATGTTAATCAAACAGAACATCTATACAGGAAGTGTGCGGATTTTAAAGTGAAGAACTTCACGTATGCGTATGCAGAACATCGGTGGTATCTTAAAAGTTCCTTTTGTTCCTCCCAGTTACTACCACGTCCCTCTCCGCCCCACTGTCCTCTTCTGATACCTCAGGTTAGTTCGACTTGCTTTCAAACTAAGTTGGATTCACAGTATGTACCCTTTTGTTTCTGGCTTCATTCATTCAGTGTTTGCTTTTATGAGATCATCCCTGTTCTCGTTTATGGGTTTTATTTTTTAATGCTTTTATGTATTTATTTTGAGAGAAAGAGCAAGTGGGGAGGGGCAGAGAGGGAGAGAGAATCCCCAGCAGGCTCTGTGCTGTCAGCACAGAGCCCTGCTGGGGGCTGGAGCTCAGGAAACCTGAGATGGGGACCTGAGGCAAAATCAAGAGTCTTGACGTTCAACTCACTGAGCCACCCAGGCGCCCCTCCCTGCTATTGTTTGGCAGAGATAGGTTCATTCACATGGTTGTATATTATTCCGTTGTGTAACACACTGTCAGTTTGTCCTTTCTGCTCTGGGTGCTTGGATGGTTTCCACTTTGGGGCTATTACAGGTCAGCGCCGCTGTGAACTTGTATGCGTTTCTGGGTCCCAGCAGACACTGCCGAACAGTTGTCTAGTGACTGTGCTAGTTTAATCTCCTTCCAGCAGTGTCCCAGAGTCCCGTCCGCGCTGTCCTTTTAATATCTTAGCTATTGCGGTCTGTGTAGTGTTAATCTTGACTTCTAACTTGCGCTTCGGTGCTAATGAGGACTTTATGTTCATTAGCCGTTTGTTTTCTCTTGTGAGGCTCCTGTTTTAAGTCTTTTCCCACTTTCCTGCTGGATTGGATATCTTATTTATGTATTTTTAGTTAATAGACTTTGCTTTTTATAGCAGTTTCAGGCTTACGTTAAATTGAGCAGAGGGTACCTAGTTCCTCTATACTTCTTATCATCCCCCTCCCCAATCTCCCCCCCCCCCCCAGGATTTCCCCTCTTATTCTCATCTTGTAATAGTGTTATATTTGTAACAATGGATCAGTTTTGTGGTAAAGTCCCTAGTTTACATTAGGGTTCACTGTCTCCATCGTTCTGCCTGCTCTCAAGCGGGAATCATACCATACAGAGCTTCGGACTGCCCTCTCTCACGAAGCGATATGCAGTTAAGATTCCCTCACATCTCTTCATGGCTTGACAGCTCATTTCTTTTTATTGTTGAATAATATCCCATTGTCTGGATGTGCCACAGTCCGTTTATTCACATTTTGAAGGATATCTTGGTTGCTTCCGGTTTTGGGCAGTTGCGACTTGCTATAACCGTTTGTGCGCCGGGTTTTTTGTGCGGACATGTTTCCGGCTCGTGTGGGTAAACACTGTGCTGGATGGTGTGGGGAGACTGTGTTTCGCTCTGCAAGAGATCGCCGCCCTCTTCCAAAGTGGCTGTGCCGTTGTGCATTCTCACCAGCAGAGAGCGGGAGTTTCTGTTGCTCCACATCCTCGTTAGCACCTGGCATTGATTTGTTTAGACTTTAGTCCTTCTCCTAGGTGTACGGTGGTGTGTCGTTTGAATCCGCAGTTCCCTTCTGAGATACAGTGTAAACCATCTTTTTGTACGCTTGCTTGACATCTGTCTATTTTTGGTGAAGAGTCGTGTGTCTTTTCATTATTGACTTATAGGAGTTCTTTGTATATACCGTGGGGGAGTTCTTTTACTTTGCCCTTCACTCTTCTAAGGATATCTTTCCATGAAAGAAATTCCCGATCTTAATATTGTCTAACATCAGTTCTTTCACGTTTAGTACTTTTGGGGCCTGTATAGGGAATTTTTGACAGTCGTAAGATCACGGAGACCTTTCCTTAGGTGTTCCATCTAGATGCTTCATTGTTCTACTTGTCACCTGTAGATTGACAATTCTTCGTCTACTATTTAAGGGCATTTGCATTGTTTTTAGCTGCCGGCTGTCATAGTAATGCTTCTGTAAGCATTTTTAAACATGTGGTTTGATTTTTTTTAAGAGAGGGAGAGCACGTGTGGGAGAGGGGCAAAGGGAGAGAGAGAATTTTAAGCAGACTCCACACCCAGAGCGGAGCCCAGTGCGGGGCTCGATCTCAGGACCATGAGATCGTGACCTGAGCTGAAATCAGTTAGATGCTCAACCGACTGAGCCACCCACGTGCCCCTAAACATGTTTTCGGTCCACGTATGTGCAGGTTTCTGTGGGGCTATACCCGGGAGCTGAATTGATGGGTTCAGGGTTTATGTGCGTTCAGCTTTGGTCAATGCTGCCAGATGGTTTTTGAGTGATTGTAGTGATTTTTAACTCTTTCTCATGGTACGTGCGATTTCCAGTTGCTTCATATTCCATCAATCCTTGTTTTTGTCTGTCTTTTTAATTCTGGCCTTCCTGGGGCGCCTGGGTGGCGCAGTCGGTTAAGCGTCCGACTTCAGCCAGGTCACGATCTCGCGGTCCGTGAGTTCGAGCCCCGCGTCGGGCTCTGGGCTGATGGCTCGGAGCCTGGAGCCTGTTTCCAATTCTGTGTCTCCCTCTCTCTCTGCCCCTCCCCCGTTCATGCTCTGTCTCTCTCTGTCCCAAAAATAAATAAACGTTGAAA